AAAATGGGCCATAGATAGAGAAAATTAACTAGAGAACAATTATGATTTGTTAATAATCATGAAAAAGTTTTTTTTTCCCCCCAACTAGTAGAAAGCAATTAAACGAAAGTGAATATTGTTAACATATCACTTGTGGCCTACTGGAATTGTGAAGATTATGAAGAATGATAGTACCATGGTGGGCACAGCATGGAAAAATGGCCAATAATGTGCTGTCAGTGAGATTATAAACTGATACAAATTTTCTGGAGGACTCTAGTAATGAGAACAAAAACCACTGAAGAAAACATAACCTTGAAAATTTCCCATATGGCCAGGTGTGGTGGTTCACACCTGTAATCCCAGCACTTTGAGAGGCCGAGGCGGACGGATCACCAGAGGTGAAGAGTTCGAGACCAGCCTGGCCAACATGGAGAAACCCAGTTCCTATTAAAAGCACAGAAATTAGCTGGGCTTGATGGCATGCACCTGTAGTCCCAGCTACCTGGGAAGGAATCACTGGAACCCAGAATCGCTTGAACCTGGGAGGCAGAGTGGGCCAAGATCACGCCACTGTACTCCAGCCTGGGTGACAGAACGGGACTCTTGTCTCAAAAAAAAAAAAAAAAAAAGGAAAAGAAAATTGCTCATACTAAGGATAAGTTCTGCATCATTTGATATAAAAAATAATGGGAATGACAAAAAAATCAATGAGGATTTGCTAAACAATTACAGTATAACCATACAGTAAGCCACCATGTAGGCTTTAGGAAATAATGAGGATATACATGGATACAGAGATTTGACATCCATATAAATATATATGTATTTTTACAGGCCCATGAAAGAGTTTATGATATTGTTGAATGACAAAAGTTAAAAGTATACAGTGAATCCATTTTGATTAAAATATATACATATAAATTTTACATGTGTATGTCTGTTTCAATGGCCATTACAATATGTATGCATGTGTACACGTACACATATGCCCACATATGCATATAGAAACTCACAAAATGTTTAAATAGTTATTGAGTAAATACTTAGCAGGGATGAACAGTCTTAAGAGCATGGGTTATTTTTTAGATAATTATTTTTGTACTTATTTATTCTGATTTTTAATCAATGAGCAAGAAATACTTATATAAAAAAATAAGAATTTTAAAAAGGGAAGGATAATCTCCTATAGTACACATTCCAGAAAAATTGTATGATACAGGTTTATCAAATGCCAAAATAAATGAAATTAACCACTTTCAGGTTACATATAAACTTTTAGTAAAAAAGGGGAAAAAGAAAGCACAAACCAAAGACACTTATAGGCCTCTAATAATTTCAAATAAGAGTTTTTGTTATTTAAAATGTAATTATATGTATTAACAAGAAAGTACACCAGCAGAAGGCTAGGAAGAATACAATTTTCTTACTTGAATATGATCATTTTTAAGCAGAGTTTTTAGTTTTTTCAACTCAGGATCATTTGAATTTTCATTTTTTCCAAATTGAAAAAATAAGAGCCACCGATGATGAGCCAAACGATCCTTAAAAGTGATAAAGAAAAGGAAATGTCAGAGATGGGAAATTATAAGGGTTCTAATCTTTATTTTTATCTTTATTTCTATGACTTGAAGTTAATTTTAGCTCCCTGACCCATTATTTCAAAATACTGTCTAAACTTCAGACCCACTTATTCCCTTATTTTGTAATTTACTTAGAATAATGCTACATAAAATCAATAAATACTACAGGAAGGTTGGTCACTAAATTATAAAATCTCAAAGTAGATGACTGCTAAAAACAAACACATGTTTTAACAGCATATAGATAAAAAGCTGGACAGTAAAGTTGCCAGCTTTTTAAGGCTTAACACGTAAGATTTGGTAGTGATATAGACTTCAAAAGGTCTGTGGTTAGGAAGTATCTAGGTTTCTGCAAAAACTGCAGTTACTTTGCACCAACCTAATAGGGAAAACAAAACAAGACAAAACTGATTCCACCACAATATTTCTCAGCATTCTATTCACAAACTGAATACTTCTTCTTAGTATCAATATAGTCTGTTCTGTAAGCAAGAACAAAAAGTTACAAATTAGATCCAAAGTTGCTGTGATTAAAATTTTGCCTTTTCTGATGTTCCTTTTGAAGCCCACTTTCAGGAATGGGAGGTTTTCCACAACTACAGGACCATCCTGAATTAGCAACACCAGAACTCCAATTAAAATTTAACCGACCACTGGCTAATACATAAATCCTTTGAAACTGCTACTCTCAATTCTCTCTAGAGATAAATAAATGTTGATTTTAAAATGTTAAGACTTGAAATGATACTAACATTTAGTGCTACTTATCATTAATAAAAACGTTACCTCTAGTGTGTTTGCCGAAAGTAGTTCAAAATCTGGAAGACTACGTATTACTTCCAAATATATTTCTTTAGCATCCAATGAGTTAAGAAACTAGAAAAAGAAAATCACACTGTTATCTTTTTGAATAAATATTCATTATATTTGATATCTTTCTTTTTCAATTTCCAGTGTAGTATTTTTAGGAAAACAACTATAGAAGGTAGAAGGTAAACAGTTTTTCAAATAATTCCAAATGTCTTTTTTTTTTTTTAAAGTATATTTTGGCAATTATCAAAAATATTATATAACTAGGCTGTTTCTTAAATAGTAATATACAATAAATTCCATTATAAGGTGTTGCATTAACTGGAATTTTTAATTAACTATGCTGTGTATTCTATAGAAATCCTCACAATAATCTTGAGTGACCTCTCAATCATCAAAAACCACATTATGTTTAGCTTAATTTTAATGCTAACCATATTTGAACAGAATGCCAATGATTTACACATTCACTTAAGAAGTTTTATAACACAAAAATAATAGATGATTGAAGACACTTCATACACCAACCAATAATTAAGATTAAGGGGAACTTATAACTGGAAAATTGAAATGGATCTTATTGTTCATTACAGATGTTTTCATCTAAAAACCAAACCACTCGAATTCGTAAGTAAAAATATAATGATAAAGATCTTATCTTAAACTTGGTTTAGGGCCGAGTCTCTTATTTAAAACACAAATAAGTATAGCACGCCTTTCTAAAAATCTCGTTTATTTCTGTCAATATTTTATCCTCAGCATACTTTCTCATAGAACTCTCCCTGCTGGTCTGATTCTCTCAGTGACGCAGTCATTATTATAAAGAATGCAGCAATGGTTACAACAAGAAATGTATATGAAAGTTGACAGAGTTTAATATATGTATTTAATTATGAATCATCTGTGTTTAACAGTTTAAGTATTACTTGAAAGATCTAAAACTCATTAACAACGTGTATGAACAGTCACGGAATCCATAGCTTAATCATGCTAGACATGAAACAAACATGGCTAAAAACAATAGGTACAACATAAGAATAAAAACTCAGATTTTGTTTTTCTAAGTTTGTTTTCTTAAAACTTTAAAAAAAAAATTTATAGCATAAACATTCTTAGAGGTTCATGTAAAAATTCCTGCTACCACAAAGAGCTTAAAATGCCAAAACAAAATATTTCATGTCTCAGTTCTACAGCTCATTCACTTCAGTCCTATTCACTATGAAGACTTTACTAAAAATATGCCTATTACACAGCCTATATAAACTTGTAATGATTAACCTACTAAAACCTCATTATAAACCTGTTTCTGTTAGAGGAGAATTTGTTAGTTACACCTATAAAGGATTGTTGTCTTATCTAGCCTCTGAATTTCACCTACCCCGATATATTTAGCTGGCATACTGTTCTTTATTTTTTAAAACCTGAATGCTTTTAGGAGGGACAAGTAGTGTTTAATTCACTAGTTCCTGTTATATTTCCAGAGTCATTCATTTCTGTTTCCTGTCTCAGACAGCCTTGACTTTGCAATTTTCTATCACGAAGCCCAGAGATTACCATACTAAAGGCAAGAGGCTCTTTTAATCATTGGCCAGCGTGTAGGCAATCCTTGTGGAATGATGACACAGAATAAACTAGCACATCTTTTCTAGAGGGCAACCTGGCAATACGGAATTGAGTTTAAAATTGCCACAGCGCTCCCATTCTAAACAGATAACTGAAGAAGTGCACGAGGATAAATACTATACATGATTGCTCATTACACCATTGCTTATAATCTTGAGAAAGTAGAAACACATAACAAGAAAGAACTGACTAAGTATGTCACATCTAGTCAGTGACTCACCATTTAGGGATTATTATTTCAAGGATAATGTATACATATTCATTTATAAAATAATAATGTTTATAAAATATATATTTTTAAATAACAAAATATTTTCCTAATACACTGAGTGAAAAAACTAGATTACAAAATAGAATCTACTATACAATCCCATTTATAAAAAATTACCTGTCTGTATCCATTTTAAGTGCATGAACACATTTTAAACATAGAGCCATAGATTTTCCTGATGAATTGGTTATAAGGTATGAGAAAAAGAGAAATCAAAAATAACTCCAGGGCATTTGGCTTGAATAATAAAGGACAGAGTTTTCATCAAATAATATGAGGAAAAACTGGATGAAGCAGATTTATGGGAGGATATTGGGAATATAGTTATAGGTATCTACATTTGAGACAGTGACTAATATTCCAGGGGAGACACTGAACAAGCAGTGATAATATACGTATGCACACACATACATATATAAATATGCACACACCCACATATATATGTATATGAGCACGTGTATCTGGAGTGGAGAACGGAGGTTTGAGCCACAGATATAAACACAAAGTCATAATTGCATATACGTATCAGTTGAGATGTGGATGGGTATTTACCAAGATTTGATGGTGGCTGTCTGATAGCAATTTGGTTTTAGGAAGTTTTGCATCTTCTTTATATAGCTCTGTACCATGTATGAATTTCTGAAATGAGTATGTGTTATCTTTATCAACATCTAAAAAAGCAGAATTAAAATACAGAAAAGAAAACTAAAGGAGATTTGTCTTATCAGAGTCCTTTATTTTCTTTTGGGATTCCATAGTGACCCATCCAATATCCCATTTTTATCTCAGCTCCTTGACAACTAGACTGAACCTCAGTTTCCTCACTCATAAATTTAGGGAGGTAAACCACATCAGTAGAAGTCAAAACTGAGTTTACACCAGAATCCCATGGGGTGCTTTAGAAAAATAAATACTTAGGCCCCAGCCATAAATACCGCTGATTTGCATTTTTAACATTTGAAAATAAACAATTAGGCAGGGTGCACACACCTGTAATCCCAGCTCTCAGGGAGGCCAAGATGGGCGGACTACCTGAGGTCAGGATTTCGAGACCAGCCTGGCCAACACGGCGAAACTGTGTCTCTACTAAAAGTACAAAAATTAGCTGAGTGTGGTGGTAGGTGCCTGTAATCCCTGCTACTCAAGAGGCTAAGGCAGGAGAATTGCTTCAACCCAGGAGGTAGAGGTTGCAGTGAGCCTAGATCACACTATACTACACTCCAGCCTGGGCAACAAGAATGACTGTCTCAAAAAAGAAAAAAAATTTTTAATTGAAAACTCATGGTATAAATGCTCTTTTGTATAACTTAGGAATGTACTCCATACTTTTGGGGTTTAAAAGTGTAATGGTTTTAAACGTAAGGTAATTTTAAATGTAAAGATGTAATGCCTTTAAGTGAAATGTAAATGTTAGTTTAAAAACAATCCTTACTTTTATAATTTGAAGCATGTATTAAACAGAATCTCAGAAATTATGTGTTCTCTATAAAGGTTCCACAATCAGACAATATAAATTGTTCATTTCTTCACTCACTGCTTACAAAGATAATATATTATTTTTGTGTGTTTGTACATTATATGTAAAGAAATAATTTTAAAGTGATTCATACCAAAATACTGCTTTTCTCTTTGTTATTTAAAGTGGCTCCAGGAGGAAAATAAGCAGTAGTACTTGTTGTAATATCCAAGCTTTTACAAAGGTTATCCTGGGTGGCACAGTCCATCCATCCTACATTAACAAGACCATCCTAAAATGGAAAGAAACAAAAAACAAACCATGTTGTAAATGGGAGGAAAAAAGTTAAAGAGATTTAGAGATTTACTTAACTACCATAAAATTAAAATTTCATGCCTTAGAGCTCTATAGCCAAGTTAAAAAGATTTCTAATATTAGAAATAATATCAGAAAGTAGACAATATTTCTAATATTATAAATTACTTTTTAATAAATTTAGAAATATTAAGTACAAAAATTGTACTTAGTAACATGAAAAATGGTTTTTCCCTAATATTAGAAATCTATGAATCCACAAAAAACTACATTTACAATATTTTTAGAAAGTGAGCTGTCCCATAGTCTTTCAGGTTAAAGAAAATAAACCAACCTACTGTTTAAGACTTTTCATTTTGGCTATCCTTTTAATAATTATACAGTTTATGAGATATTCTCTGTGTCTAAAATGTACATTTAAATTAGTACCTTCCCAGTTTTCATCTACAGTGGCTAAGTTCCTTTAGTGAGCTCCAAAATCCTGTCCAAAAGTACATTTCTCAGAACCTTAAGTTACTGAAAAAAAATTTTTGGACTGGGCAAGTTAGTAACAGAGTTCTAACAAACATTCAATTGGGATCTCAAAAAGATAAGAGAACGAGACAACAACAAAAAGTGAAACAACACCTGACAAGTTTCCACAACTGATGAAAGGTATTAACCTATGGAATCAAGAAGTCCAGTTAATCTCAATCAGAATAAACAAGAAATTCAGACCTACATATAGTATAATGGAACTTCAGAAAATCAAAAACAATTAAAAGCTAAAAAATAATAGATCTTGATTTAGGTGGTGTTACATGTGAGCATAGATATAAAAATTAAGTTGTACACTTAAGATGTATTCACTTTATTGCATTTAAGATAGAACTTAAAACATACTTGATTAAAATAACAGCAAAGTTTCAGAGGTAGTAAAATCATTTATCTTTGGTACTCTTGCGTTGGGTAGCAAATGATTCATGTACAAAATTTGTAGGGTTTCCATTAAATGAACAGTAAAAGAATGGGTACCTAAAGAACTAGTAGAGATGGGAAATGAAATTTTAAAAATCACTTGATTAATCCAAAAGAAGGCAAAAAGGAAAGAAAAAAGGACTATAAAACAGGTAGGACAAATAGAAAACTAATGAGATGGTAAGTATAAAGCCTAATATATCAAGAATAACATTAAATGTAAATGGACAAAGATAAAAAATGGTAACTAGATAAATACAAAACCTAATTAAATGCTGATTGCAGGATATAAGGATACAGTAAGGCTGACAGCAAAAAACAGAAAAATGTCAACAGTAAACAAAAGAAAGCTGGTGTAGCTATACTATTATCAGTCAAGGAAGACTTGAAGGCAAAAGGCATGAAAGGAGATAAAGAGGGTTATTTCATTAGGTTAGAGATTCAAATCACCAAGAAAATATACAATTCTAAATTAATATCCATCTAATAATAAAACATTGATATAGATAAATAAAAATTGACAGAAACAATGGAAAAAAGAAATATCCACAAAAATAGTGGAGAATATTAGGACACTTCTCTCAGTTATTAATAGAACAGGTAGACAATAAAATTATTAAGATCTAGAGGATTTAACATAGCTAACACATTTGATCCTACTGATTTTATAGAAATGTGCACCTGTGAACTACAGAATTAATTTTCAAATGCACATGAATCATTTATAAAAATTTACCATATTTTGGGCCATGAAACAAGGCTTAATTAACAACTTTAAAAAACTAAATTCATGTTCACTATCCATGGCAGAATTAAGCTAGTCATAAATAACAAAATTACTTTAAAAAATATCCTTTATGATTAGGAATGAAAAATACAGTGCTAAATAATCTGTGATTCAAAAAGAAATAAAAATGGAAGATTAAAAAAATTTGAACTGATAATGATTTTATATATATATATATATATATATATACACATATATATGTATATATATCTCAAAAGAGAAGATGTAGCTAAAGCTGTACTCACTAATTTGTAAGTACATATATTACAAAGGAAAGCGTGAAGATCAATGAACTAATCATTCATTTCAGGAACAGTAAATTATATCATAAAAAGGTAGCAGGAAGGAAACACAGTACTTAATGAAATAAAGAAATATATAGTAGAAAAAACAATCAATAAAGCTAAAACTTGGGACTTTGAAAAAGCTTATAAAGCTTAATGAACCTTTCCTGGGACAGAATATGAAAAAAATAGAGATGACACACACACAAAAAACATGATCAGAAAGTAAGAAAGAACATCAGTATAGATACCACAGATACTTAAAAAAATAGGGCATTATGTACAATTTTATAACAATACATTTAGACATTTGGTTGAAACAACGAAGTATTAGAAAAACAAATTACCAAATAGAGGAATTAGAGAATCAATCTATCTATCTGTCTGTCTGTCTATCTATAGAGATTGGAGAAGTCTATAAAATAAGAATTTAAAGACAACTCCAACTCCAGGCCCAGGTGGCTTCCAGATGAATTCTACCAGGAAAAAAAAAAAGAAAGAAAGAAAGGAATAACACCAGTTGCATAGAAACTGTTTCCAAAGAAGAGAAAAAGAGAATGCTTTCCAACACATTTAAAGGCCAACCTAACTTTGATGCTAAAAGCACACAGACTTAACCGGAAAGGAAAAATACAGGCCAATCGCTCTGTTCACCAAATATTAAAAAAATAAAGATGCTAATGCTCACTGTGTTTTTCTGTTTTGTTTTGTTTTTTCCCGCCCTCTCAACCCAGCTTTTCCCGACTCCAGGAAGAACTGGGAAGAAAAGGCCTGTTTTTTGTTTTTTTTTAAATCATTTTTAAAAGCTCCTAGGTGATTCTAATGTGTAGTATTGAAAAACTGAAGGCCTAGGCATAGGGTGAAATAAGGAAAGGGAAGGAAACAAAAAAGCAGAGTAAGTTAGTGATTTTAATATCAAATAAAATAGAATTTATATAAAAAAAATCCATAATGCATAAAGGACAAATAGCTGCCAAAAGATATAATGATCATGAATATACTGCTGCCAACAATATAATGTCAAAATGCAAAGGAATAATGTAACGTAAAGGAAGAACTGACAGAAATATAAGAATAGATATATCAATGATTGAAGGTACAGGTTTTAATGTTCCTCTTAGAAATTATACATCATGTAGTCCAAATATAAATAACATTAATAAATCTGATCTAATAAATATAATATTGCACCTAACACAGAGAATATTATTATATTCAAGCTCACAAAGTATTTCCACAATCTTCACAGCTTACAAACTGTCAAGCCACAAAGGGAATTTCAATGGTATTAAAAAATCAATATCAATCAGACTACTTCTCAGCCATAACATGATGAGATAAATAAATTTAAAAATGACTAAAAAAGAAAACAACAAAAAATCAGGTTTGGAAATAAGAAAAACACTAACATGTAACTTCAGTTGAAGAAGAATTTATAAATTACCAAATACTTAAATGACGCTTAATAATTGATACCATGTCAAAATTTATTGACCATAGCTAATTATTCAGGAAAAAAAACACATGGATAGAAATACAGTCATCAGAAAATAAGATTACAAATAGGTGAGTTAACTGCTCAAGAAACAAGGGAAGAAAATATTTAAAATCTATTTCCCAATGTGTTTCTTTACATGGTGATATAGTTTTACAAAATGAATGATGCTTACCAACATGCCACTAAGCCTGAGTCGTGTCTGTGAAGTCAAACAATCTGAGGACAAAAAAACCTTATGAGGCAGTTTTACCTTTATTAAGCCTAATGAAAAATACTTGCATTTGCCTTTCCCCCAAATTACCATGCTCATTCAAAGGCAATTAATTGGGCTGAACTCTACTGATAGACATGGAAATTCTTCTACACAGACACACACACACACACTCACTCCCTCTCTCTCTCTCTCTCTCCCTCTCTCTCTCTCTCTTCCCCCCCCTCTTCCCCCCCCTCTCTTCCCCCCTCTCTCTCTCCCCCTTTAATTTCTAGGATGTCTAGCTACAGAGAAAAAGAGTAATTTTCTCTCTTTAGGATAATACTCTCAATCTCCCCTCCTATCAACAATCCCTGTTACCCAAGAGATCTCATAATTGGGGGAATATAAAATGTAACAGATATTTGATAAAAGTATGTAAAGGATCCTCGAAATACAATAAAATCTTAATAGCACCTTCACTATTTTTATGAAAGTTCTGTAAGTATGAACACTAGAATGCAATGAGAGAAGATTTAGAAGAAAGAGAGCTATAGCATCACAGAACCTATAAAGATAGGGAGGAGAAATTTACCTGAGGTGAGAAGTAAAAGAATCTTAGAGAGTGTAAGAAGTTTTGTTCATACGTGGATGAACAGAAATTTGGGCAATAGGCCAAAATAAGAAAAAATCCCTTGGTGATTAGTTAAGTTCAAGGCTGATGTTTTGCTGCAACGCAGTGTCTTCCTGGCATAGGCCTTACAGGATGGGATAATGGGTTGATTTTAGTTATAGGGCAACATGTTTTCAATATAATAGCAGGAAGGCTGAGGGATGAAATGTGGGGAAAAGACTCATGTTGGGATTAAACACATGAAAATATATCAATGAGTTATAATATCTTGTTTTCTTGGACCAATTTTTAACTAACCACATTGTTTGAATACAGTTTATAGTTTGTGGCTTGCTATGCAGAGTACTGACTTTTCAACTTAATTTATTCAAGGAAAGGTTCCTAGAAGCTGTCATCTTCAAATATATAGTTGTATAAGGGAAATCTATAAATCTTTGACAGATACATATAAGCATGAAGCAAAGTCCGTATTTCCAAAAAATTATTATTTTAGGAGGGGTTAGAGCTGTAAACAACTAGTTATTTTTGCAAATTGTCAAATAACACCTGTGGCTACCTGAAGGTACAATTTATCATGAGGCTATTTAAGCTGAACAACTGGTCCACTGAACATAAGAACATAAAGAATACATTAAAAAATAAGCAACAACCTTTTATGTGTAAAACAATGAAAAAGGGAAATATTCATTAAGTAAACAAACTGTAATCTTGGGCATAAATTCTAGTTTCAAGTACTTAATAATTATAGCAGCATACTTAAAACTGTCAACTAAAATTTAAATGTCATGTTCTCTTCATCCTAACAAAATAAAAAAAATAAAATTACCTCCACCTTTCGAACAAAATGTGATCAGCCAGCCAATACCAGCAGCAAAAGCAGTTTGTATGGAGTTAACAAAATTTCCTTAAAAAAAAAAATAAATAAATAAAAATAAAGCAAATTCTGATCACCTAATATTCCTTTACTAATGGAAACAGTCTTCTAAGTCATCTTTCCTTTCTAATCTCAACCTCTCCTAATCTACTCTGAGTTTTACCAGTTATCTTTCCAAAGATACTCTTGAATATGACAAACTCCTTCAATGGCTTTCCAATTTTTTCATCATATAAAACCGAAATTCACTACTTCATTAAGAAAAAACCTCAAATTGGCAAGTGAGGCATCTTGCGACCTGAGCTTTGTCTCCTATTCAGCCAGGTACATTTCTCCCTATACCACCTGACCCAATTATCCATCTTTTTGTCAGATTCATGAAGTGTTGTCAGTTCCCCAAACACACTGATTTCTTAAGGCTTCCTATTCATTTTCATGACAGATTGGGTATGACTTCTTTCAAGAAGTATTTTCTAACTCATTTCCTTTTCCCCAACTGGGTTGTTTTATATATTTTATGCTTCCTTAAGCTCTATAATAATAATTACTACATTGCATTTTAATTGTTTACAATGTCTTCCTCATTAATGAAGTCACTGATGGCAGGGATTATATATTTTACTACTGCAACCTTACTATTTAATAGCTTCTGACACAACTTTACTTAATGAATAAAATTAACTTCTTAAGCCACAAATACTATCATTTCATGGATAGTTTAATCTGCCTAAAGGCAATTAATGAATTAAAAGCCTAAGATTAGAAGCATTTTAAACTTTAAAATTAAACAGAATTTACTGGTCTGAATTTACTGCCTGATATAGCATAATTAAAAAAGCAATAAAATACTCACATTACTAAACATTTAGTTGCACTTTAGAGATGTCTTTTTACCCTAGCCCCATCTCATATCCATTTCCCACATCTCAATAGTTTAAGTTTCTGTACAAATTTAACTAGTTTGTTAAATTCAGCGGAGTTCAGAGTAAATGACACAATTCTCTTCTAAGAAACATGGAAAAGATACTTTGAAATTTCATGACCAAAATGTTAACATTGCCATTAAAACAAAATACTAATTTCAAAATATCCTGGAAACCAAGCAAATTCAGAAAATAAAATTACCTGTCCAAAGTTCTGTCACTGTACTTCTAACATGCTGCATTGCAAAACTCACTAAACTCTCCTTTGATCTGTCTCCATGATATTTCACTGGGGCCTATTGGTTTTTGTAAGAAGAGAAACACCTTTTACTTTTTCTTTTTAAAACTCAGTAAAAATAATACCAAAGAATTTGATTTTACATTATTTTGAATAATGCAGCAAAGTTCTGTTTCTCAGTAGCACAATGTACTTCCAAATGATATTCTGATAATCTTGACAGTACAGATTCTATGGAAGACATTTTAACAATAATATTTATAATAGTTTCAGTTTCATTACTGGAAACTAAGAAAAAAAAGATTATCACAGTTTTACATTCAATGAGATAATACCTGTAAAATACTTTGTAAACTACCAAATACAATACGTATATCATATAAATTATGTTCCTTAAGACAGAGACTGAAATTGGCAAACATTTAATTTTAAAATACAGCAAAGTCAGAGTAATGGTGTTTGGCCGAGCACCGCGGCTCATGCCTGTAATCCCAGCACTTTGGGAGGCCGAGGCAGGCGGATCACCTGAGGTCTGGAGTTCAAGACAAGCCTGGTCAATCAAGACTAGCCTGGTCAACATGGTGAAACCCCGTCTCTATTAAAAATACAAAAATTAGCCAGGCATGGAAGAGGGCGCCTGTAGTCTCTGGTACTTGGGAAGCTGAGGCAGGAGAATCATTTGAATCCAGGAGGCGGAGGTTGCAGTGAGCCGAGATTGCACCTTTGTACTCCATCCAGCCTGGGCAAGAGAGACTCCATCCCCCCCCAAAAAAAACCAAACAAACCAAAGTAATGATGTTTAAAAATATTCATAATCCAAAATGTTTATAATTATGAAAGTCTAATTAGATAGTACCTAAAACAAGACTTAAAATGTTCTGTAATTTTCACATACTGTATTTTCTCTAATATTTAATTTGTCATAATGTTTCACAAATTTCAAAAAATGCTAACTTTATCACTTACCATTCCAGACTGAAAAATAAAGAGGCTGGGATAGCTGTTGACGCCTTTCATTCGGCAAAGCATTCTATCATCACCACAGTTAACAGCTCCAATTCGAAGTAATCCATCCACTTCTTTAGCAAAGTCTCTCCACTACGAGAGAAAAAGAAAACATATTTCTCTGATAAGATCACTTTTCTTCTCTTGAACACACTCCAAGCTACACATTTTTAAACCAGACATTTGAAAGTATTTGTAATTATTTTTGATAACTACTATTCATAAAAAAATATTCTAACATACAAACTGCATATCAATTAGAAATAAAACTAGTAATGAGAATGTGAAAAATACATACTGTGGGAGCTAAATCATGGCAGTGTGAACAGCCTGGAGAATAAAAGTTTACAAACCATAGTTCTCCAGAATTAACAGCAGCATCTAAAAATACACAAAATAGAAACAACTTAGAATTATTTACTAAAGGTTCATGCATATTTTAGTTAAAAACTTTTTGTGGAGATAGAATTTTAAAAAGTCATAACATTTTCATATTGTCTTTCTGATTTTCTGAGTAATTTTTTTCTGTATCTTCTACATAAATGACATTCTAAAAAAATTAAAAAAAAAATTTTCCACAAAAAGAAGTATTTCAAATGTCAAACCAACAATAACTTTCTAAAAAACTCTCCTACGCCCATACTTGAAAAAGAAGCAGCCTCAAACTGCAAGATAAATATGGCCATAAAGTTGTAAAAAGTGACGGCACAAGATACAGCAGCCAAACCTCATGTAAGAGTTTGTGTGAATAAGAGAAATAAACGAGAAACAGTGAGAGTGACTGAGATTTAAGCTCTTCTATTATATGCAGCATAGGCTAAGTATGTTTAGACAATTCTGATAGCTACTTTAAACTCTGAAAGAATCAAATGAGAGACCTACATAATACAGTGGGGATTAAATTTAATCTAAGCCCTAAATAAGACATTTACCTTGGAAAATCATTTTGTTTGAAAAGACTGAGGTTTTTCTAACAATTGAAAACATTAATACATCTTTGCTAAAATTATAGATCTGAACGACATACAATATCTACCTATTTATATTATCTGTAAAATGACCTGATGCAAATAAACAAATTTTACTCACTTAAAGAATTTAGCACTGTAAAAATGTGCTTTCACAGTCAAGATAAAAAAGGTGAAGGTAATTTGCTTTTGGTTGAAGGATTTCCATGTAATTCCATGTTATAATTAGTTATTAGTTACTTTAAAATAAAAATTTCAGAAATTACAGTAAGTCATTAAATCACATACAGTATTCTAAATATGGTGCAACTTAATTTAGGCTAATTAGAAACAGGTGCAGGATTCAGCATTCACCTACATTTCAAGTATAAGGCAGACCTGTGGGAAAACAGTTAATCTACACGTTACAGGCAAAATGTATAATTCAGGACTATTGACTGTTCTTTGGCAATGTTTTCAAAGTCTGACAAATAGACTATTCTATAGAGGTGGTGGAAAAAATTGCCATATTGGTTTAGACCACAAACCAGTACAAATTTAGGTAAAAATATTAACAGAATTAATGTAAACTTTAATGAAATAAAGAATTATATTATTAACTATAAACAAGAAATAATTTACATATAAAAATAAGCAATAATTACACAAGGTATTACTGTTCATAAGTTTTAAATAAAAATATGCCATAAAACAAATCTGAATGGTATTTGACACAAAACCTTGCTTGAAGTTAAAACTGTCTCCTACCCTGCTACCAGGCATACCTCAAAATATTAAGGGTTTCGTTCCAAATCAAAACATAGCAAGTATCACTACAACGGAGTCACACAATTTTTTTCTGGTTTTCCAGTTCATATAAAAGTTGTATTTACACCATACTATAGTCTATTAAGTGTGTAATAACATTATGTCTTAAAAAAAAAAGTATATACCTTAATTAAAAAACAGGCTGGACACAGTGGCTCATGCTTGTCATCCCAGCACTTTGGGTGGCTGAGGCAGGAGGATCACTTGAGTCCACGAATTTGAGTCCAGCCTGGGTAACACAGCAAGACCCTGTCTCTATAAACAT